ACTTTTATTTGTATCATATAATAATGCCCCATATCCATAGTAACCGTGTTTTTTTGCAGCTCCTTCGAGCTCAGGTGCTCGATGTTCCTCCACATGTTTTTTTTTCATACGCCCACAAACACACATGCCCGAGCTAACGGCTCCCCTGACAACGCTGCACAGCTTGTAAGGAGTGAATAAAATGAGCACCAGAAACCCGCAGCAAACTGTTACATCAGCCCTCTCTGGCAAAGCCTTTCCTTCACATCTGCGTTTGCTATCACCTCAAAGGAGCACCTCTCCACATGGCTTTTGGTTTGAGTGAAAAGTCTCATCATCTGTTGTTCCTTTTTCTCCTCCTCAGGGGGAAAACATGAAATGAGACTTGGTGTGGCGGTGGTGGGAGGGTGGCAGCAATAAAATGTTCATTATAATGGGTGGGAGTAAAGATGACTTTCTTTATGTTTGTTACAAGTCAGATCATGGAGGATTTTTGCTCAGGGTGGATATGACACTGTGAGTGACACTGAGAAGATTGATGCTGTTGCAGAGAAAAGGGTCAGTGTCACAGAATACAGAGCATTACATTATAATGCTCCTCTTGTCGGTTTGCCAATACGACCTTGCCTGTTAAAGATTTCAACGTAGCATCACTGCTTATACAACCTTCAGGAGGTTGTGCATGCTTGTCCCCAATTAAATGTAAGTACTTTTGGATGGCATATGGGCTGTGCAAATTAAGAGCAGCCTCTGTTTCCTCCTAACCTAGTCACTAATACACTTTTTCTCCTATGGTAATGGTTGGTTATCCTCCCTGTTTTCTTGCTGCAAGTAAGTTTCTAGCCCTACCACAAGTATTTGCCTCAGGGTGTGTGATACAGCTTTCATTTGTTATCAGTTATGTCACTAACACATACCAGACACAAGAACTCCCCTCACTGCAGACTGAAACACTGCCACTGGAGACAACTGGCAACTAGGACCCAATACTTTTAAAGGAAAGAACATGAAAAATGTTTTTATTAGAGGGTTTAACTAGAACGGTAGCGGCCCTGTTTAGATCAGAGACCTGAGTAACTGTTTAATTATTGAACTAAGATTAAAATGAATAAAAGCATATCTGCTGCGTAAATATAGAAACTGATATTCTGAAAATTCAAAGCCATGAATTCTCTCTCCCCTTACTAACCTTGGTCACTGGGGTGAAATGTTCTTTCATCACTATGCTAAATCTAGCTCAAAATAGATATTTACAACTACATTTGCACTAAAGTAACTCCTTCACTCAGTTCTAATCATCTTCAAATAACAGGAAGGTTTATCTAACAAAGAGCATCATTTCTCCCACAGTGTTATTCTATTTGCCCTCATTGAGAGTGGGGCTCGTTTTATTTATTTTTTAAATAAAGAGATGGGTAGATTACAAAAAGATTAAGAGATAAATAAAGATCAAAGCAATTACTTAACAATCAACAAACTCGCAAATTATGAATAAGTAAATAAACTAATTAAATTGCCAATACTTTCCCTCAACATAAGAAGAAACAAGATAAATGCTAAAATTAAAAAAGGATACAGTTTGAATAAAAACATATATCTGATAAGCAGCAAAAAATAAAAAAAATATTGTTTGAAAAAAGGGGAACTAAATGTTAAAGTAACAATGCAAAACTTGACAAAGACCTGTAGCCTCCACATTAAGGACACTGTCAACACTGCACTGTTGCAAATTTAAATGGTATCCCTTCATTTTTTGAAATCTGAAAGAAAATAACTTTTGACCAGTAGATCAAAAAGTGATAGAGAAGCGCTTAAAGACAACACCATATCTAAGACTTAGACTGATTTTATTTGTCATTTTGTTTACACAAGTGTAAAACAAAAAGAAATTTCGTGTGGAACAGCTCCCTGGACAATTTCATTTTTTTTAAAGTGCAGAAAAATAGTAAAAAAAATAAAATAAAATAAAATAAAATAAAATAAATACATATATAAAAACAGTTATATAAACCTATGACTGTAAATTTACAGTTTAAACTTTTTTTTTATTGCTGTTGTTTTTTGTTTTTTTTTATATAATGATAAAATATAATAAATATAATAAAATAATATCCATCATGATAAATTAAGATCAGAGAACCAAAAACTTGTCTGATATCTGTTTTGATAACGACTACTTAGATCATGTAATTAAAGGTCAAGGCTCAAGTTTAAAACATACATTTTTGTATTTTTTCCACATACAGACCCTTATAATTGTCAGACATGTAAAATGGGCTTTCCTCTGTTTTACATGATTGTCTCTACAAACTCCCAAACTGTGCTGCACACTCACAGTTTGTAAAGATGGCTCATAAAATACTAGCCATAAGTGCACCTCAAGCTCCACACAAGAGTAAGAAAATGAAACTTGTAGCAGCTGACAAGTGGTCAAGCTAATGTTGGCCCCTCTAACATTGCACTATGTCGGGCTTTTGCTTAAAACATTTTTTACATTGCCTTTTCATAAATGCGCCCCTCTGGTCATGTTAAAAGACTGCTCAAATAAACAAACATTTAGGAGAAATCCACTTTACTTTGCTTTACCACCAGAAAACTGTATACCACCTGGACAAAGCCAATAATTACCCTGGAAGAATGTTTTCATTCTGTAAAAACATTTTTTTTCAGGCTGGATTTAATATTTAGGTGAAAGAAATTACCAAAGTATGAAAGCTTTTACATTATGTTGTTCAAATGCAGTTCTCCATTATGGTCTTTTTTGCTGCTGGATAAGAAGATGATTGGTATATAGAGACAAAATTGATACTTTAGCTGTCTATTAACTGATTGGGTGCAGCTGAGACACTGGTAGATTAAAAACAGTTGTAAAGCAGTCAGTTGTGAACTAGATATAGGGTCAGAGCATTTATGATTTCTGTTTGCTTTCTGATTCCACTGCTGAGAGTTTAAACTGTGTTTTTCTATTAATTACATTTACATTCCTTTGGAAACAAATATGTTTAGCGTTTGCTGTGGAGCCTTTTAAAGTTATTGCAGTAAAGGCGCTTAAACATACCGTAGTTAAATTCCTCCCCTGGAACCAGAATTAGTGGTTCGGCTGAAGCTATTTTAAAGATGACTGAACTTTAGACATGTGAAACAGAGGTGAAAATTGATATTTTTTAAAATAAGAGACTTTTCTAAACACACACTCCCACACACATACACATTTCAAATGGTTCCAATGTCACTGTACAGCTTTCTGCTCCCCAATACCAGGACCTTACGGAGGGGTGGGCCCCAATTATCAGGGAGATAATCCTGCTGTGCGTAATGTGGTAAAAGTTACTGGGTCTGCTAAGAAGATTGTAGGGACTGTTCTGATTGCAAATTGGGTTAACCCAACATGCTGGATGGTGTTGGTCTGATGTAGTGCGTGGCGTTCCCCAAGCTTGTATGAGGACACAGCCTGGTAAAAGTGATGTGTAGCCATTCAGAAAGTGTTTCCTAAAGAAAGAAACACAACAACTCACCACTGTAGCAAGGAGAGCCACTGCTCGCACCTTCTCCACTCCTTTTCTTATTGTAATGATTTCCCCTCTCTCAAAAACGGCTAATAAAGCATCTAATTTTTTTCTTCTTTGTTGGTCATGTTTATTTAATCGAAACTTATCAGTAATTCTTCGTGGCGGCGCCTGGCTGAAGCGGCCTAATTCAGCTCTCAACAATTCCACAAAATATGCCATTCAGAACCCTAAAAACCAGGCATCGATCCCACATCTACAACCACCAACACCCACGGTCACAAAATGCTTTATATACACCCACTCTTGACCATTTAAAAAGCTGCGGAGTGCTACGAATGGATGTAAACAAAACAAGAGCGGGGTCACTGACCAGGCAAGGCCGGAGGAAGAGATGTGCGAGACGGCACAAGAGAGGCAGCATAGGTGGGCTAACGACAAAGCTAAGAAGGAAATCCCACAGAAAACCGATCCCAAGATTATAACACAGTTTATAGTACATTATCTATTTACTGTAAGAGTATTGTTACTTTATGATAATATTACTAAAGTACAAGAGAAAAATATTTTGCATTACAACCACTCTTAAAAATGCAATTTATCCAAAACATTATTCTTCACTGATCTTGTGTCTTTCTGTTTGTGTTCTTCGTCACTAAGTAATATTATCAAACAAATATTATTAAATAGGTTCGAAAAAAATTGCACATCTTGCTTATGTTTTCAACATAACAAATATTGAGGAATCACTTGATATCAGATGGCTTGTCCTACATTTCCACCCAGTATTAGACCAACCTGTTCCCTTAACCATTTGTTAATCACTCTTCCCTTCTTTCTCTCCTTCCTCATACTTGAGTGAAATGAACTTTGTTAAATATAACAAAGTCTTGATGCATTCTGGTAAGCATCAGAATGATGACATTAAGCCACCTCAGAAGACTTAAGCATATGTTATGAAATGCAGTTTATTCCCACATGGAAATAGTTTACACATTTCAGACATTTTCTAGGCTTACATGTTTTAGGTTACATGTGTCACAGCCAAATCACATACAAAAGCAAACCAGATGTGTAATTTGTATGGTTTCAAAACTAAAGCAGCAAAACCACATATAAAGACATTAGATTTTAATTACAATTTTAATCTAATTAGACTTATCTGATACATCACAACAGCACTGATATTATATAAGAATTAGGGTGAGCACATTTTGATTTCTAAAGTGGAGATATGTAAATATTGTGCACAATTTTTTTTCTTCCACAGTTTCCATTTGATCACTGCTGTACTTGATGGAATGGAAATATTATGTTCAATGCTAAGCTGCTGCTCATCTACTGTCTGAAAGCTGTATGAAACAAATGTTAAGTATACACTATGTGTATACAAAATCACAATAATAGTTGTATAAGTCTAAGTCAAGACTACAGTAAATTTTACTTGCAGCAGTTTAAACTAACAAATATGTGCACGCCTTCACACAGATTCTCCAGCTACTATACTTCATTTACCTGCCATCTTTTAGCCACTTGGAGAAGTTTCCTTTCACCACGACATCTATCTCCTTCTCCCTCTTTCACTTCCTTTTTTAAGTTCCTGAGAGCTTCCTTTAATTTGAGTCCATATTTAGCACCACTGCTCCTCCATATAAACACTCACTCCTGCTCAAACAGTCTCTTTCGCTTGAGGGAATGCACATTGGAGCACCTGGAGGCAGTGAGAGGATGCAGAAAGGAGGAGTGGGCTGTGTGTGGTGATGGTTGTGGTGAGGGGGCTCATCTGTAATATGCCTCTGCTATAGATTCATATGCACAAAAGCTGTTATATACAAGAAATAAATTCTTTATTTGTTTGGTTTTTTTCATTCATCGTGCCCCTAGTGCCCAGTGGTGGTGCGTTTGTGGTCAGGGATGGGTGAGGGCTTGCGTGTGGTTGGGGGATTTTGTTTCGATGCTGCCCTATATATTACTTAGTGTCGCCCATATCAGAAACTGCCAATGGGTGAAACCACTCTGTGTGGTGTGCTGTGGTCGTCATTTAGCTGCACATCACACAGTGTAAGATCTGTTCTAATCGCAATTATTATTTAATCGTCAGGTGCGGGGCCTTTTGAATTAAAAAAAAAACACGACGATTTAAAAATCTATACTTATGAATCATTTTGATGGGAAGCTTAGACAGCCTTAAAGGTATGGTGCAGGATTTTCATGAATTTTTGAAAAGATCCGCCCTTTCAACTTTTTAAAATATGCACATGCAAAACCCTGTACCCACTCCAGAGATGGAACGCCTATTAAACCCATGTGAGAGTATGCATGAGCCCATTTCTCCTCGTGCACTCTCTGTTTAAAAGTTGCAGTTTGCATCACTCATACAAGCTTACTTTCTATGACAAGATTTGCTATTTTTCCACTATGTCAGACTCACCACCGAAAAGTGAAAATGGGGACAAGCATTTAGGACAGGCTTACGTAAACATATCACCAGAATAATTGACAATTAAGTGGACCACTTGTTTTGATGATCCACCTGGAAAAAGAACATCCTCCACTATACCTTTAAAGTGAAGCTCTAGGTCACAACTCCTTCAGATCTGACCCTCTGAAGTTACAGTTAAAGAGAATTGATAAATAAGGAGTGCTGTATATTGACCTAAAAATATCAGTTGATTTATCAAAAATTTAGCTAAATGGGTCCAAAGTTACAGTGTTACACAGCACGGATCAACAATTTCTCAGACAGTGTAAAAATAAATGTAATGAAATAAGAAATTCTAGATTTAAAAAAAAAAAACATATTTTTTTTATCATTCTAACATGCAAAAAAAAAAAATAATAATAATTTGTTGGATTAAAATAAAATTCCAAATTATCTTAAAGTGGAAGTTTAAATGTTTGTCCTACAGTGTTGTCTCTTGATGGATTAGTGGCACGTTAAGGTTGTACACAAATTGGAAATACAGGATAGAACAAATAAAGGATATGCATAGAAAGATAAAGCAGGTAATGTGGAGGAGATCGGTGAATGGATCATGTTTTGCTCATTTCTGTTGGGTGTTGTATGTTAGAGCTACCTCAGTGAGGAAGTCAGTTCATTTTCATTACACAAAATGGAAATGAGAGCAAACAGGAAGTGATCGCTAATGGGCTCATCTGAGTCCCTTTCATTTACTGCTCAGCACTCAGAGCAATAATCTTAATGAGTAGCAGTTAGCAGTCAAGTTAGGGACACTTATCTTCTCTGCAAGAACAGACAGAAATAATAATAAAAAAGACTTAATTTTTAATTACAAAAAAGCAAATCCATATGTCTCTCAGTGAAAATGAATCACCACAGTTAGTTAATGCATTCACATCATGCAACACACACATGCATGTTTATCTGCAGTAGGGGAAAAAATGGAATCAAAACTATTTAGCACCCACCTTACTCAAGTGGGTGCTGTGAAAGCCCAAATCACTACACATTCATGTTTTCACCCACTAATACTGCATGTCAAAAATACTTGCATTTACAGTTGTAGATAACGTTTTCAGATGAGTGCTCAGAGTTTCTGTACAGAAATAATAAAATTTTTTGTTTAATAGTGGCAATTTTTTATTGCCACTATTTATGGACTATTGAGTATTTCTGGACAAAAATTCCAAAGGTTTTTGACGAAATCTTAAAAAAGATCAGTCGATGGCACTACAGTTTTTGATATTTTTAAGAAAAAGCATTTAAGCAGTTTCCCTTGATGAAGTATATTTTATTTCTGAAAAGTTTTTAAGTGCCTGCTAAATTTGAATAAATAACCTTCACAGTCATGGAAATAAATAGTTTGAAATTAATTTTAGAATTGTTTCAATTACCAAAATAAGTCTGTAAAACTCAATGCATCTCAGTACATTTTGTCACATGTAAATGTTAAAGGAAAACTTATTATTATATAAACCTATTGAGGTTTTTTTTCTCATGATAAAGTACACACTATTTTGAGTTATGGATTGTACTGTAGCGTAAATGATAACTAAGAAGTGAATAAAACTGAGAACTCACAGTACCTTTAACTTCCTCCCAACACAACCACTTATACTTAATGACTGTGGTTCAAAATGTGCTTGGTGTTTTGGCTGTGTGTCCATTTCCTTTTACTTACCAGGAATAGGTGGGACCAACACACAGACTTGTTGGCATATTTGGCAGACTGTCAGCTCTAATAGTTGCAGTGTGAAACTGCAGTGATCCAGCAGAGTTCCTATGTCTCTGCAGCCCTCCATCTGTCATTGGAAAGACGCAGCGTTCCCCCAGGTGAAAGTGTTGTGCCAGCCTGGCAGGGTCATTACAGCAGGGCTCTAGTGTACCACCAATGCAGCCTGTCGCTTCGCTGTCCCTGCCCCGCTTCAACCTCTTGCCAGGTAGCAAGATCTCACACAGACCTAATGTATTCACTCTAATTAAAGTGTGCCAGGCACCAAACGAGCACAGCTGTTGCAGGGATAGAAAGACCAACTGTTTGTATCAAAGGATGGCAATGTCATGGACTCACGCCCAATGCCACCTGCAACACCTGAGCTTACAATATCCGTTTAAATATGGACAAACCTTTTCAGTGGTTATTCATGGTGGTACAAAACTAAGTAACAAACTATTAATACGGTGTATTAATTTGGACAAAGAGCTCTGGGGTTGCAATTTGTAGACCCCCTACCCTCACATTTGATAGCTGTTATGCCATCCCAATATGGGATAAAATGCAACACCTTCGTTTTTAAAATGACTGTTAAAGTAAAACTGTAAAGGTAAAAAATGTCATTGGTCTAAGGGACAACCGCGTATGAGTTAAACCAAAAGCAGAAACCAAAGTAGTAAAAATAAGGGGAAAAAATCCCTAAAATCTCAACAAGAAATCAATTTTGGATTAAAATTTGATGTGAATCTTAAAAGCCAGAATAAAATAGAATGAAATATTCTTCTTCATTTCAAAAAAGCTCCATCATATATTATTCCTTATGTTCTAAAAAAAAGCTCTTTACTTTCAAAATGCAGGTTTACTACAGTTTCTGAAAGTGCAGTGGAAGGCAGATCTGTCAGGCTAGTCCGTGAAAAAGACACCCTGTGTACTTTAAGTGCTAGGCTTAAAACATTCCTTTTTTTGATAATGTTTATAGTTAGAGTAGCTTGGGCTCATAGGCGGATCTACTGGGGTGGCATAGGGTGGCAACTGCCACCCTAAAAGACAGCCTTGCCACCCCTGCTGCCACCCCAGTTGGCTGTAGGGGTGGCGAGGCTTATAAATTATGGATAATTTGAGAATTGCGACCGCTAATTTCCAATGTCGGACTGCAGTGAATGCAGCACGAAATGATGCGAGAGCGACTGAGACTGATTGTTTTGAAAACCGGGTGGAGCAGGGTGAGGGAGCCAGGGGTGATGGGGAGAGGAAACACGGGATGAAACAGGTAAAAACTGTCTATTGAGAAATTAAATCATAATGAAAGCACAATGTTGCTAGCATAGCTGCAATGCTGATTTTGAGATGATAAAAATCAGGTTGCAGAGCGTTATTTCTCTAACTATAATGTTAGTTAGGCCAGACATCTCAGGCTCATAAAGACATATTTGCGGTCAACTATGACAGAAAAGAGACTATCAAGTTTGAAAACGCAAAAAGGGATTTGATCTAAATAAAGTTGTGAAGCGTTTTGCTGAGCAACATGGAAATCACTGCTTTCAGCTGTTATAGTCATGTTAACTTTATGCTATGCTCTCTGGTGAGCCTTTACAGAGCTGTTACATTTTGTTTTGGCACCTGAGAAAATCTGATATTTCCTTTAATAAAATCAAAAGTGTTAAAAGTAAATTTAAAATTGTGATACTGGTGTAAATCCTGCTTAATATGAAGCAGTGTTGTTGTTTCTTTTTTTTTGTATATATAGTATGAAACTATCCAGAAATGACCCGTATGAACCTACTCACAAAATGTTTTGTACTTTTACAGATTGGAAGCAAAATTTATTTTTATGTTGCTTCTTTTCAGATTTGTGGAGATTTTGATGTAACATACAGTACCTGCCTTTTTGTTGATTTGTTGATCCAGCAGCTCTATCTACAGCATATTATTTACATGCATGAAATGTCCCTTTCATGTCGCCTTAACTGCTATATGTCAAGTTACTGAGGAACAAATGGGGTAAATGTGTGTTCAGAGTAAACAATACATGAATGTCCGGTACCTTGTTTGGGTGCCTTGACCCATTTATTTCTACTGTGTAGTTATGATGACTTTAGTACAGCTCAGTCCATAGATCTCTGATGGGTAACTTTTTCTTTCTATAGTTTCTTCTTGTGCAAATGCTGCAAAGCTGCCTCTCTGACAGTCAATCTCACACATCTGCGACTCAGCACCTGTGTCTTACCTTAATACCTTTCCTGTGATAATGCCCCTCTAGAAGCAGTGTTATCATTCTTCTATCTCCTATTAAGTGAGATTTCATTGTACGATGCATTTCTGATATAAACTGCTTCACATGAAACACTTATTGTACATAATATTCTCACCAAACTGTGATAACTGAGATTAAATTCAGCGTAAACAAATGCCATATGTTGCCACCCCTCAAAAATTCCTGCCCCCCTCTTGCCACCCCATAAATATTTTTCTAGATC